CACACTGATGAGGGGGGCCAGAGGACAGCTCTTGAGAAACAGTTCCTGAATTAGCTTTCAGTCTTGTTATCTGGCAGTGAACTTTATAGCTTTCATGAGGAGTAGGCTTCACAATCCAGCCCAGTGTCCCTCCAGTAATGACATACTGGATGTCGCTAGGCTGTATGAGAAAGATTGTCAGCTAAGGAAACCCGCTAGTGAAGACTTGAAATGTTCGTTTTCCTTACTGGGTATTGCTTTTGGCATAAGAACAAAACTGACAGTGCAAAAGGAATGTTGCCAGCAAAGTAATAATGAGAAGAAGGATTAAACTGAGTTTAACTTTCTAAAGGTGACTGGTTTGCATTAATGGTTTGCCGGGAACACAGAGAAAGTAGTGGGCAGTTTGCATGGTGGTGAGCCACTGAGTATCCGATACGCAGAGAGTTGCAAAGGATTTAGCCCTTTCCACTCATTAACAAAGACTGCTCACAGCTTTGCAGGATCAGGCCTTACCCGAACTGCTCTTTAAACTTGAGATCTCCATTATTTGAACAGGGAATGGCATAAGGTTAAAATATCAAATGAACCCTACATCTCTTTGAGGTGCCATTTACTTATTTCTTTTGAAGTCACTTGTGGCTCTTTAATAAGATGTACTCACCACATTTTTTATGTCCTCTTAAATAAAACACGTGTGGCTCTTGGCAATGCAGCTTATAGGCTCATAAAATCTGAGTAACTTTGTGCTAAATTCTAATTAAGAAATTTAATTGAGCCTCCAGTTGCTACACTGTCTATGTGAGCAGCAGCTGGGGACCACCTAATCATTCAGAGATCTGTGCTACTTTCCTTTTGTTTATTTAAAGAGCTGTATGTGACACTGTTCTTTCTTTACCACAAATTCCCTTGAAATATTGGACAATGAATGAAAACAGCATGTAGACCTTGTGGCTATTCCTAGACAACCATCTGAGTACTCTGTAAGTGATACTGAAGCTCTCTTTTTGCCTTAGGTCAAAACCCTTTCTTGTGTCAGGCAGAAAAATAGCAACATTCTTCATTCTTGAAAGCATTTACTATTAGAAAGGCTAAATTGTCAAAAGAAACGTGTTATTGTTATAGAGATTTCACCACCATTATTTTCCACAGTGTCCTTCACTCTGAGACTTTGTTACACATCCAAAAAAAAACCCCCAAAAAAAAACAACAAAAAAAACCACCCAATGTCAATCATCTGTCTCTCAGCAGTAGAAAGTGACATCCATGTGAAGATCAGAACCCTCGAATGAGACTTTGAACCCACCGTGCTGGTAAACATCCAGAATAGCTTTGCTGCAGTCATTAGAGATATTATGGTGTACAGTGCCCAGTTTCTTCTGAGAAGAATCAGTTGCACTCCAGTAAATTAAACAGTAACACAAATAACAACCCAGATGCCCAGATTTTTCAAAGGTCTTCCCCTCCCAAGCCTATTTAACCATGCTTACATATAATTAAAGTATACAATAGCCTAACTTCTACCATATTTCAAAGTGCCTGCATCTTCGTTTAGTTAAGGGCCCAGTTCTGTTGAAACGGTTTCAGCTGATAAGATTATTCTGGTAAGCAGGGCTTAACCTTGAGAAAACAAAGAATGGATTGAAATAGAGTTCACCCTTCCCTTCTCTTCCAGTCTACACAAGCACACACAGGCAGCTTGCACTTCCCTCTCGTTTTAAACCCCATCCACGCCAGTCGCCTTGCCAGGAAAACGCGGTATCCCCTTCCACGCGTGTTTCCCACCGCGGGCGTGCAGAGCGCTGATCGGCCTCTGCCACCTGCTGGCAAAGCCGAGAACGTTCAAGGCGTTAAACCGGAGACTAAAGCGTTGCCAAGGCATGTCTGAAATCCGGCTCCTTTAGCTAAAACCATCATGGTACAAACAGGAAAATTTTCTGCTGCTGTTGCTCTTCCCACAGCTTTGGATGAAAAGGCTGTCCCGGCAGAACTCTGTCAGAAAAATACCTCCAAAATGAAAATAGTTGTTATTGCATATGTACAAAATGGGTCTTGGCTTATAGCCCAGTGACAGGATGTGAGGCTGATTGTGTTGGTTTTAAGGCAATTCAAAAAATCTTGGACCTTTAAAATGTCTGCATCTGTTCCAGAATTAAGAATTAACAGCCAAACTCATCCTCATTAGGCCTACCTAATGATTTCTGCTCCTGAATTGTGGTAAAGTGTTGATCTGCTCGAGGGTAGGGAGGCTCTGCAGAGAGACCTGGACAGGCTGGAGCCATGGGCTGAGGCCAACTGGAGGAGTTTCACTGAGGGCAAATGCCGGGGGCTGCCCTTGGGCCACAACAACCCCCAGCAGCGCTACAGGCTTGGGGAGGAGTGGCTGGAGAGCTGCCAGTCACAGAGGCACCTGGGGGTGCTGACTGACAGCCGGCTGAACAGGAGCCAGCAGTGTGCCCAGGGGGCCAAGAAGGCCAATGGCATCCTGGCTTGTGTCAGCAATAGCGTGGCCAGCAGGGACAGGGAAAGGATCTGACCCCTGGACTCGGCACTGGTGAGGACGCCCCTCGATTCCTGTGTTCAGTTTTGGGCCCCTCACTCCAAAAAGGACATTGAATGACTCGAGCGTGTCCAGAGAAGGGCAACGGAGCTGGTGCAGGGTCTGGAGCACAGGTCGTACGGGGAGCGGCTGAGGGAACTGGGGGGGTTTAGTCTGGAGAAGAGGAGGCTGAGGGGAGACCTCATCGCCCTCTACAGCTCCCTGAAAGGAGGGTGCAGAGCGCTGGGGATGAGCCTCTTGAACCAAGTAACAAGCGATAGGACAAGAGGGAATGGCCTTAAGTTGCGCCAGGGAAGGTTTAGACTGGATATCAGGAAGCATTTCTTTCCAGAACGGGTTGTTGGGCGTTGGAATGGGCTGCCCAGGGAGGTGGTGGAGTCCCCATCCCTGGAGGTGTTTAAGAGTTGGGTTGACATAGCACTTAGGGATCTGGTGTAGTTGGGAACCATTGGTGTTAGGTTAAAGGTTGGACTGGATGATCTTCAAGGTCTTTTCCAACCTAGACGATTCTGTGATTCTGTGAAAATTGAAATGTAGGTCTGGGTTGAAACCCTGGCAACAGTAAAGTTAAAAGAGGAGAAAATTTGTTTTTCAGCTTTGCATCCTAGGCTGGGAACCCTAAGTGGCCCACACAACGAATCTGCACATGCCTTGTGAATGTTAGCTGCTTGTTTAACATATTGTGCAAAGCTGATATTCATATCTGTGAGAGGCTAATAACACCCTGGAGAGCCAGAGGGTTCCTGGGCACACTTGAGTAAGGGCTCCAGTTAAATGCTTTAGACTCACAGCAGCCTCTGGAGATGAAATTCTCGTGCAAAATCCATTCCCATGAACTGTGAGTCCATCAAAGACTCTTCTCACAGAAGGACTGCATAGTGAATTTCTTGTACTGAAGCTTGTTCCCAATCACAAAAGTACCAACAGTCTGACAATACAAACCCCCATAGATTTTCACATTTGCCACAAGCTGAGTCTGGCTGGTCTGTCCTCTACCCTCCAGCAAAGCTTCTGCTGCTGAAGCTGTAGCCCCTGGAAGCTGAGAGCAGCCCTCAGGCTGCCCGGGTACCTGCCGTGCCACTGCCACTGTCTTTCTGGGAAGCTTCAGGCCTAGGAGAGAGATGGAGAGAGAACAAAGGTCTGACAGGGTTATTAGACGTTAGTGGATTTGGGGGAAAAAACCAAAAAACACTACATGACATGACAGCCTTTTGTTTTTTTGGGATCCTTTGAGAGGACACAGTCTTTCACCTGGCATCTCCGTTAGAAGCACAGGCAAGGGGAGGGGGAACAGCGCACCAGAACTGGCTCCATCCAACTTGGATTTCTATTCCTTGTGCAACAGAACCTCAAGAAATAGGTCTGACCTCCTTTCGCCTCATTATTCTGCAAAGCAACCGCATGCTGTCCAAAAGTATATCCATATGGCACACCTCTGGAAAAAAGGCTTTTCTGCACGTGCTTGGAGCACCCTTACAGAAGGCAGCTTCCCAGTCAGGGAACGGATCTGCCTACGGTAGTGGAACCGTCTCACGTTTTCCTTGTTGTGATATATGAAATGTTAAGAAATTTGGTACATAACTAGGAAGATGATTGTAGTAGGCCTAAGAGTTGTCTGTTTAAGCTGAGGAGTTTCTGAGCTGTAGGAACAAAGAAAGAAACTCGCATAAACATAGATAAAGGCCCCAAGGACAGAAGATGTGGAACCATGGCAACAGAAGATAATGTGCACTGTATGACCCAAAGGATTAGGCCCAGGCCCTGGCAACAGAAGATAACGGACATCACACTTGACATAAGGTGGGCAACGAAGGATTTAGTCAGAGGAGTCTGGCTTTTGGGGGCTGGTGATTTCGAATTGGGGAAAAGGTGACAAGGAAGACTACTGGCCTTCCTCCCGAAGACCACTGCCTGGAGGTGATGCACAGGCGTAAGAGTGACATGATTGTTTTAAAACTGCTGATAAAGTGTTTTGGACTAACCACGCCTTAATAGTAAAGATGTATGTTTGTGTTGTGCAATCCTATGAACATGTGTAAGGTACCTGCATTTAAGTGGTAAATCGAAGGGGCTTGGTGTGCGCTTGTGGAGGAGCGCTCCCCCGTGCACCCAGCGCCGCAGTAAAGAATGCCTGCTTTCTAAAGCTCTGATCCTGAGTCTTAGAGAGTTTTTCTTCAACCGGCTTTCCGGTACCAGTTGGGGTCGGGGGAAGGGCGTGAGCCTGGAACATTTTATGTGGAGCCCGTGATAAAACATATCCTATCATTCCGTTTTATACAGCGTCACTAGCACACACTTAAAACCGGCTTCCGCGGGCAGCCGGGCGGGCTCCCCCCGCGGGGTCCATCCCCCCGAAACCCCGCGCCCGGGATTCTCGCCGCGGGTGCGCCCACACGCGAAGGCCCCGGCGG